CTTTTGCAAGACTATGGCCAGAAAAACTTAGCCTGGGTGCCATCCGATTTGTAATGGCAGCCCTGAAAAATTTTTTTGGGGGGGTTGCCGTTACAAATCGTACTGCCACCCAGGCCAAGAAAAACTTATATGGAGGATAGATTATAATAACTCTGATACAGAGACAAAAGCTTGATTTGTTACAATATTATGATTATAGATTAATTTTTCAACTGACAACAGTCATACATTGTCATTTTGCAGTAGTTTCATAAACATTTCACAGTCAGAGTTTAATTTTTTGCATCTTGTTATTAATTGCAATATTTGTTGCATATCGTTTCTCATTTGTGGCAAGGAACAAGATTTCTATGGGAACAGGTTCATTTCAAGGCACATGTAGTAATAGACAGATTTACAAGGTTTCAGAATACTGAAACATAAGCCTTTGTGTCAGTAAGAAGTAAGGCCATGTTGATTTGATGGATGACATCCTCCGGGAACCCCTAAACTGATGCGTGCGTGCGAATAAAAAAAAGTTTTGCAAAAAAAAAAGTTGTTTCCATTATGAAATCGACGTGGTCATGAGGGTTGAACAAATGGGACAGAATATGGTTTGGTGAATAATCTAGTCTTCAAGTTCATTTCTTTACAATTTCATCTTTTTTCGTTTGATTTTGGCATTCTACGACATTGGTATAGTTTTTATTTATTTTTTTGTAACTTACGGTATATTTTTGCTCATTTTGCAACTGTTTTGTACGATTTACAGTAAGGTTGAAAACTTTTTTTTTTTGGAAACGGCCGAAAATTCATGCGCGCGCGGATGTCATCCATATAATCAAATCAACATGGCCTAACCACAGAAAGAAAATCCGTCCTGACCAGGTTGATGTAGACTTTAGGATGTCCCAGGGCCCCTCCACCTCCATCACAACAGGCGATACTGCTGGCCACTTCTATAGGAGGCTCCTCATCCACCAGGTCAATGGCAAAGTGGGGGTTCACCTGTGGGAAACCAAACAAAAATGGTAAGAAAGTAAACAAATACTACCGTGAAGTATCCTGTTAATACACAATGGCAATGTAAATATGTAACAATATGTCCTGTATCAGCTTGAAAGTTCATCTGAGTTGGTAAATTAAATTATGAAAAATTTAAACTGTTCTGTTAATATGTCCTGTAAACCGTAAGATATTTATAATACTGTGGTAGTTACTGTACATGTGAAAAAAAAAAACAATGTGGGATTGTGTTAAACCAAGGTTTACGATAAAACATTTAAAAGATTTAGAACCTCCCCGCTTAAACAAACATTACTAGTAACTACCACAGTAGTAAGTAATTATGATGGAATCCAAATACACTATCAGGATAACAGCAAGGGCGATTTTCTTACCTCCTTCTTTGCGTCTATGAAGCGGACTTTTCTGTAATCATTCTCCTCGTAAACCTGCAGCAAGAGTCATATCAATATGAATTAGTCCAACGTCTCTGACAACAATATGGATCAAATCACAATGATTTGAAAGCCTATGTTCCTTTACATGTAGAGTCTATGAGTATGACTACGGATGCTACTTGTGGTACTAGAAGGTCATCAATCTTTACGTCACTTTGCTCTCCTTACCTGTCCTGTATGGGTGACTCTTTCCGTGGCCCCGGACGCTAGAGTTCTGTTACATCCTCTCAGAGGAGAAACGGCGTCCTGAGCGGCACAAGAAGGGCGCAGGAGGCCCAGTCGAGCCCCGGACGACAGGCGGACGGCTCCTCTCAGCACTAGCGACGCCATTTTGGGTGGCAAAGGTGAACAGAATAGTTCACTATTTCCAGAGGGGGTTATGAGATGTTTCCAGTTTTTAGTACAAACCCGATCGTTAAAAAACCGTTAAAAACGACACTTAAAGTCACAAAAATACTTTTAAAATTTTAAGTATTTTATAGTAATTACTTTGATGATTACAAGTTATGATTTATCTTACGATTTTGCTCAATTTTATAGATATTATTATAAACTGAACCCCCAGCAATAGTTGACATTACCCAACCGGCATTCTCGTAATCTCGAAGTCCACGACCAGTTGCTACAGCCTGTTCCTCCTATTTTACAGGCTTTCCTAAGGTTCACCCTTTTTCATCCCTGGCCACCATGGCGCCTGTTACAGAGGCTAAGGGAAGTCCAACCCCGCGTGTCCAGAAGGCCCGTGTTTTGCGCCAACTTGCAAAGAAACAGGTTTGTTCCAAACAGATCTTTGGTGGCTTCTTTCTTCGTCCAAGTGGCTGCAAGTGCAAGACAGTATCAAATTGACCAGGCTGTATCCATTTGTCATCCATAGGCTGGTAAAAAATAAGATACGAGTGCAAAAAAAAAGTATGATAAATTGCCTAAACGCACGTCCAAAATTAGCCGTGGTGACTCTTGACTCGGGTTTACATTTTTATTACCCTCTTGATAGTCCAAAATATTATAAAGCCAAAGTCTTTATTGATATCCTTTGGTTGGAAAACAATATTTTCAATAATTTAATCTAATTTTATTTGAATATTCAACTAATGATGATTACCTATTGTTAACACAGTGTGTTTCTGACCTCTTTTTTTTTTGAACACAGGCTTTTGGTCAGCTGGTTAAATCATGTGAACTTCACCCAGATGTCAGTCAACAACCCACGTGCCCCGCTGCAAAGAAATGGAACTGTTGTGGAGAGACGTTTGACAGCATGGCAGACATTTGCAAACACGTTTCACTTCACCATCACAACAAAGTGGAAGAAGAAGCTACCAAACTTCTTTCTTCTCTTCACATGAGTGACATAGAAATCACCGAACAGCCAAGAACTTCGGATTTAGTAGAAGACATGTCAAAAGACTCAAAGAAACAGAAATCTGAAGAAGGGAATAAGTCACAGGAGTCAGAAGAAGTGGCATGGTTGCCAGATGTTTCTAACGTGGATTTAGGAGACCCAAACGATGAGAGAAGTGGTCTGGTGACTCTGTTCTATAAGTACTGTGAAGTGGAGAGGCCAGAGGAGTTAGAAGTCTGGCAGAGAGACTTGTGTACGAGGCTGAAACTTACTGGAAAGGTATTATGATAATGATTTATAGTCTGTAGCAGATGCTACTGTACATAAGTCACACTCCTATAGCTAGTGGCCCACAAGACTTTAGTTAACCATCTCCAGTTATAAGTCACGTTAAAGCATTAAGTCACTGGGGCCCCCTTGTCTGAAGCCCATACCATTTCCCTTCAGTTCCTTGAATTGAGTGGTTGTTGAGACAAAAGTTTGTGTAACAGTGGGGTTCAAGCACCACTAACTGACCCATTCCAACGGGCCCAGACCTGTTTGAGTAGTGGTTATGGTGCTGGGGTTGTAAGCTGGCTGCCTGGGTTTGGTGCGGGTTCGATTCCCGGTGTGGAAACCAGTGAAACACAAGGAGTGAGGAGAAACAGGAAAACCCCTGACTCCCAGGACACCTGGAATCAAACCTGCGCCAAACCCAGCTCAGGCAGCCAGCTTATGACCCCAGCACCATAAGGCATAACCACTACTCCAAAAGGTTCTGGACCCAATGGACTGAGTCGTCAGCTAGTGGCGTTTGAATCCCACTGTTACACAGTCGAAGTTTGTCTCAACAACCGCTCAATTCAAGGGACTGAAGGGAAATGGTTGGTAGGGGCCAGATGCATTGGACTGGGTAAGTTAGTGGCACTTGAACCCCACTGTTACAACTGTACAGTATGTTTCTGTGGATAACCCCCTCTCCAGGTGCGAGTGTCGACTGAAGGTATCAACGCTACCGTGGGTGGGTCCAGTCAGGCTGTTCACCTCTACATCCAGGCTGTCAGGGAACATCCACTCTTCTGTCACATGACTACTCAGGAATTCAAGGTCGGTGTGCTCTAACCACAAAATACATTCCCCCTCTGGTACCATACACTTAGTTTTCATACTGGTCTATTGTTCCTTAGTTAATAATAGTTAGATAAAGTTAATGAAAGTTGTTGTAGGCATAGCAGACAGAAGGTTTTGAGACTGTCGTTGTCAATGTTAGCCTGTGTGCCAGACACAGTATAAAGGCTAGCTCCTCGGCTCCAGGGCCTACATGTCCCCAAGGAGATTTTACCACAGATCCCACTCAGTTAAATCTAAGACTCTGAACTACAAGGTCTAAAAACAAGGGGATGGCCTGTACTGTGTATTGGCCCTGATACAGTAACAGTCTGGCATCTAGGCTAACATGGCTTGACCAGTGCTATTGTTTAACAAAAATGTTTAAATTTTTGTTCTTATTTTACCAAACAAACCATCTCAATACCTATACATTTGTACTCATTTGTACTAACAACACTGATGTCTGTTTCTAAGATTAACTGGTTAGTTCTTGGTTTTTTCCATTATATCAGTTGAGTCCTGGTAGTGCCAGACATTTCCATGGAGGTTTGAAGGTTGGAGTGTACCAAGAGCTGGTGCCGATGGGGGTGGACCCTGCCTGTGCCAGTTACAAAGAAGCAGGTCTGAAACACTCTGATAACTTCCATATTTTGTACAAATACTTGAAACAAAACTACATCATTTTGAAAAACGTTATGTCCTATGACTATAACTAAGTATGCTCTTAAATCTGTCTGCATGCAAATTTCTTTCAATGTTCTATTACCTTGTTGGGAACATTAGAAAATATCAAATTATGATGCTTTATTGCTATTTTTTTTTCATTTCAAGGAGTCCATCTGAGTGTTGATGAGTTCCATGAGAGGTTGGAGAGACACCTGCAGACTGAAGATGACAAGGACAGGACTGTGTTCGTGGACTGTAGGAACTTTTACGAGAGTAGAATTGTAAGAGCCACATTTAAACTATTTTAGCTATCCCCCCAGCAATAGAAAAAGTTGACATGATAGGAATCAAGGGCAACAGTGTTCCTATTTGGCTACAACTCTTGGCCTGGTATATTGAAAAGAAAAAAAGTATATTTTCAAGTTCACAGCAATTTGTTTTTGACCCAATATCAACATGTTCAGTGGGTATTGCTCACTACAGCATATTATAAAAAAAAAAATGTTCACAATTTGTTATGAAAATGGACTTATTGTCTTTTAAATGCTGCATCTCATTCTGAGTATCACACAAGGAATGAGAGATATGTTCAATTCCATTGCATCATGAAGAAAATCTGTCAACATAAATGTATATTTTTAGGGTCACTTTCTGGGCGCTGTGGCTCCAGACATCCGGAAGTTCAGCTACTGGCCAGAGTATGTGGATAAAAACACAGAGTTCTTCCAGGACAAAACTGTGGTCATGTTCTGTACTGGAGGGATACGGTGTGAGAAGGGGTCTGCTTACCTCAAGTCAAAGGTAAAACAGTTAACAAGACTGGCAATAAAAACATACATTGCCATGGCGACGGTGGTTGCTGTTAGGGTTATTGTTTGCATGGCACTGCCATCATTTCAGATACAGTGCACTCCTCCCCTGAGTGTATAGTGAACGAGCCCCAGGGTCACAGAAAGTAGGGCCATCCGGGCAGAGAGGTTTTCCCTCGGGTTTCCAGGAATGTGGGCATAGATGTGGGTCAGAGACATGCCTGTAGACATTCCATTCCTGTGGACAAAATGCCTGTACCATTCCTAGAATTCTTGCAAACTGCACACAATACTGTACCATTAGGCTCCTCCCTGAGATGTCGCCAAAAAATCTTCTACATGTGCTTCAAATATTTGGGCTGTTAGTTGTAATGGTTGTTTTGTTGATAAGCAAAGTAAATCTCTAGATTGATTGTGATTTGTATGTTATAACAATAGTAAAGCTAAATCCATCTTGAAGAGGAAAAAAAGATTTTTTGCTGCCCACTGCACTGGAGTCTGCAAATGACCTTGGTGTCTCAAGGTTACTTGAACTTCTGAAGCTTTCTCATTAATCTTAAACATGACTATAGAACATCAAATCAGAGTGAAACATTCCTCTTGGTTTATACACTTCATAGTTTTTTTTTCCTGTTAATTCCAGAAAAAACTTCATTGTATATAAAGCCATGACTGAAATATCAGTAAATCACTTGTTTCTCCAAACTCTCTCCAGGGAGTATGCAAAGATGTACTTCAACTTGAAGGAGGTATCCACAAGTACATGGAGAAATACCCCAATGGGTACTTCAGGGGGAAGCTCTTTGTCTTTGATGATCGCTACGCTATACCGGCCAACAGTGACATTGTTGGAAGTGAGTGTGCACTAAAAATCTCAGCAACTCATTAATATTAATATTCCTTTGGAAAACATAATGTTATGCTTTTTTTTTGTCACCAGTTTTGAGTTTACAGAAGGAACACAATTGTTTTTACTGTTTCTTCTTCTTCTCCAAACCAATAAGGTCAATGACCTGAACCAGATGTCTGTCACCATGGTAACTGTGTTGGGTTACACCATGTTGCAATTTTATAGCAGGAGGAGAGATTTAGACTCCTGTCTGACCATATATATGAATGTGTTTGAGTAAGAATTAACAGACCAGACCATATGTGAAGGTAAACATTATACATTTGCTTTGCAAATGTTACCAAATGTTACCTTATTGTAGTTTATTGATGTAACCCTTTACAGATGTATCTGAATCTTATCCATTGCTTTCAATGTTGTTGGTCATTGCATCGCTAAATGTTTACTGTGCAGTGTCATATCATTTTCTGTCACAGGATGTTTCTACTGTAAAGAGGCGTGGGATGAGTACAAGCCCTGCAGTAGTGCCCACTGCCATCAGCTGGTTCTGTCATGTGACAGGTGCACTGCAGCTGGTTGGACCACCTGCTGCAGGGACTGTCAGCTGCAGGCAGCCGGGGCCTCGGCACGGGGTGTCCGCTGCAGGGAGGAGTGTGCCTGCACGAAAGGACGTCGCAGAATCCCAGTGGAAGTTTGACCCCAAATTCTGGAGATAGTTGCAGATGTGGAGACTTGAAAATGGCTAATATGTCTTGTAGCCAAATGGAAATATCATCTAAGTGACACTGATTGCTTTAAACTTGGAAAGTATGTACATGTAGTATGTTCTTGTAAATCTCCTGCTGTAAAGAATACCAATCACAACACATACTATTACTATGTTGCAATATCATTAGATATATTTCTTTATGCTTGTACAGTGTACATGTATCTCTAGTATTGTTATTCTTGCTTGGATTAAATTTTCATGCAATTTTTCATAGCTAACAAACCTGTGTTTGTTTTTACAATCTGCAAAATATGAATTACGGGTACGTGAAATACAAGATCTGATATCACTTCAATTTATGAGGTAAAGGTTAAGTTCATAGGAGGGACACTGCTGGTGGGGGTGGCGGTGACTGGTGTAATGGCAGGTCGCGGCTCAGCGATGCTCTGTGACAGACTGCTGTCGTCTCCCTGGCTGGACCTCAGGCCTGAAATCTGCTGTAACAACGACTTCCCCTCCTCCCTCGTGCTGGCAAAGTCACAGCATCGGCGAGCGTAGAAGGTGGCCTGGTCCAGGTCCTTGTGCTATGGGTGGTGGGTAAAAAGAAATATCACAATTTCTGGGCAACAGAGAAATGTATTTAATATATGCCAGAGATGAAGGCACTAAGGTCTGTACACAAACCATTTTTTAAGAGCAGCTGCATGCAAATTGATTAGGCTACTTTCAGATATAAAAAACATCAGTTACTGTTACCTAAGGACTTTACCTTGACTTTGAGGTACCGGTACTGGTATATGTAGTAGTCATACAATAGAACTTACTGAGCCAGTAGGACTTTGCCTTAAAATACTTGTTAGCCAATAGGACTTAACCTTGAGAAAAAGGTTGGCCAATAGTACTTCAGCTTGAGACTATGGTTAGCCAATAGGACTTGCTTTGAGACACTGGTTAGCCAATAGGACTTTACCTTGAGACAAGAGTTTGTTAGCCAATAGGACTTCACATTGAGACACTGGTTAGCCAATAGGACTTTACCTTGAGATAATGGTTAGCCAATAGGACCTCAACTTGAGATTACATAGCCAATAGGATTTTACCTTGAGATAGTGGTTAGCCAATAGGACTTTACCTTGAGATAGTGGTTAGCCAGGTAGCGGTAGGCCTGACACTGCTCCTCTACATCCACAGTTCCCATCATCTCAGACTGTTGCACAAAAGCCGTATAGAAAGCTGCTGCCTGCTGATCTTCCTATTAAGAAATATGCGAAAAACACTTAACAATTTGGATATGTTGGAAAACTCTTGTCACAGTGTTTCTCTCAAGTTTATATGATGTATTTCTTTATAGCCACAAAACAATTATAAGTTATATTCCACTATTGATAGCTACGAATGTAGCCTGATTTCTGTTTCCTTTTTTCCCCTGAAAATTTCTAGCTCTTACAGGTAAAATTCCCTTTTCTCCTTTTCTTTAAAACCATACAAAACACATTCAACAAGGAGGGGGGGGGGGCTACAGGTAGAACTCTCAGGCACTTCAGACTTAGCGCTCCCAGCCCCAAGGTCAGACAACACAGCTCCTGTTCTGAAACAAAAGAAGCTTTTGCTCGAGTAACTGTTTTTGGGCGTACATTCAATAAAATCCTATTCCTAACTGAATACCTGTATTACCTGTGTACACGTGTACTCACCTTGATTTGTTCGTGTAACTTTGCCAGTTTGACCAGCGCCATGCCCTCCTGGTCCACCACGGAGTATGCACGCCAGTAGCACTTGATGGCCTCCAAGATCCGTTCCAGTTTCTCGTAACACTCGCCCAACGCCATCAGCATCCGAGAGTCGTTTGGTCGCAACTGGTGAGCCTGCCTGGAATTCAGAGTTTCAAATCATAAATAACTTAATTAGAACTAGAAAGGTAACAGTTGCAAAGCAAATGCACAATGTTTACCTTCGCATATGGTCTGCTCTGTTAATTCTTACTCAGACACATTCATATATATGGTCAGACAGAGTCTAAATCCCTCCTGCTATAAAATTGCAACATGATATAACCCAAAACTAGTTACCATGGTGACAGATGTCTGGTTCAGGTCACTGACTTTGTTGGTTTGGAGAAGAGGAAACAGAGCAAAAACAGTATGTTTTCCAGACTGAATTAGACTGGAGGACCAGATTAATAAGAACTGATTACCTGTAAAGTACAAATTGAAAAGGTTATTTCTGACTGCTGGAAAGTGTCTTACCTGTAATAGTACAGACAGTAGAAGGGCATTTTCAGGATCTCGTAAGTTTGACCCAGTCCATACCATGCTCTGTAGTCCCGACGATTTACTTCAATAGCATGTCTGTAAGCCTGAAACAAAGGGGAGAAATCGCTGTTTATAAGAAGGCAAATGATAAGGTCTCAAAGTCAAAAGTATCTTATTGATGAAGACTTATTTCTGCAAAAGCATTGAACTGTCTCTTTCACTCTACTGCTCAACCTCATGACCAATACTAATTGAGAACCAACAGGCTACCTAGAAGTGTGAAGGTTAGATAAGCAAGCAATTTTCTAACTGGTCTTTCTGTCATTTGACGGAATTTTGCTGCTCATGAAGGACAAAAACTTTGCCCAATACATCATCTTTGATGGACAAATATCGGCACGTAAAGATATGGAAAGAGATGTCATTAAACTAAGCTTAGTCTACCAACAAAATTCACCCCTCAAAACACAGGAAATAACGTTTCAGAGGGTCAAGATTTCAAAATTTTCCTAGGAAGCAAGCCCCCCTAGAACTATCACCTCCTGGACTATGCCTTGCACCTTCAGTGCTTGACATGAGTTTACCTCAAACAAAATTAAGATGACAGAATGTTCCAGGCTGGCTGGAACACTGAAGCACTGACCTGTATGGCTGCTGAAGTGTTTTTCATCTCCATGTACTCGTGCCCCATCAGTGTCCAGGCTGACAGGTAGTTAGGGTTCAGTTTGAGTGCTCGTTGGAAGTACAACACTGCCTTCTCATGCTGGCCTCGCAGACTGTAGTAGTTCCCTAGAAGAAACAACACATGGGTCAAATTAATTACAATTTGCAACTTGCATGCACACCTGTTGAGGGGTGCACATAATTTTTGACTGCACATGCACCAGTGTAACAATTCTTTTAACAGTTAAGTCTGTAGTTAGTTTGTAAAAAGCTATACCTTTAGTACATTCTCATTTTGTGTAATTATGTGTGTTTGATACCATGTGGTTTGTTTACATGTACTGCTATTTTGTCAATTTGCATAATTATGTTTACCGAAGGAAAACATATTGTTTTTGCTCATATTGTTTTTGTTTTGTTTCCTCTTCTTCTCCAAACCAATAAGGTCATGATCAATGACCTGAACCAGACATCTGTCACCATGGTAATTAGTGTTGGGTTACATCATGTTGCAATTTTATAGTGGAGGGATTAAGACTCCTGTCACCATATACATGTATATGAATGTATTTGAGTAAGAATTAACAGAGCAGACCATATTCAAGGGTAAACATTATGCCTTTGCTTTATAAATGTGACCTTTTTTGTACTTTTTAAAACCTGTAAGATTAGCCATTAGGCTAAAGGGTGTTGGAACAAACAGAGCTCTGAAACAAAGTTTGAAAGTTTACCCACCGATGACACAGCATGTCTCCACCCTGAACTTGTCGACCTGACAGACGGAGTGTGCCAGGTGGCTAAGCTCCGCCCTCATCTCCTTAACATACAGCAGGTTGGAGAGGGTGTCCATGTTGTCCAGTCTGTAGGGGTCCTCTGCATGTAACTGCTTCAACAGGTCAACTGCAGGCTCCACCTAGTGAAGGAAACAAATATTGCACCAAATTCAGCTAAGATTTCAAAGAGTAAATGTCCATTGTCTACAACTTTCTTGGTGTTTGAAAAATATGAAAATCTTACTATTACTATACTAAGTAGGCATGTCAATTTTACAAGAAGTCTAGCAAATAAGCTTAGAGGTTGACTTTTTAGTATCCCAAATTTGTATTGACAGTTATTAATATCACTTTACACTTTACACTCAAATTTTAACAATGGGGTGGCACAAGTCTAGAACTAAAAAGGGTAGCATGCTCCTTTCAGAAAGTAGAACATTAGCTATTCAGCATAACAACAGTAATTTTGCCGAATAAATGTATACATATGTTGCAAACTATGACTTCTTTACAAGATATACTTGAATGTTACATGTTACCTGTCTCATGTTATGGTAGGCATTAGCAGTCTGAGCTTTCACCCATGTGCTGAGAGAGAACCCCTTGTCTGCCAGGCCTTGTAGCTGTGTCAGGGCGTCTTCATTCATCTGCAGCTCCAGGTAGCAGTGGGCCATGAAGAACTGCTTCATCCAGTGGTTGGGCAGGGAAAGGGCCACCAGGTTAGCTTTGTCACTGGATCAAAGAAGGGAAATATTTTGCGTCATTTTTAAGTTAATCAGTTTTTGCAGTCACTTTTCTATCTCTGAACACTCCCTGGCATTGCTATGTGCATCATGTTGCTCAAGGCCAAACTCAACTCTTGATTTTTGCAGTGCTGTATATATATAGTTGCTGCAAGGAACACTACTAGTACACTATAAATCTGATATATGCCTGAAGCCTCTAAGGCCACACTTATTTAATTCTATGGATTAAATCTATGCGTGCATTGATTTTTACTTGTTCTCGACAAAAAATAATGACTGCTACTATATCTACTACCACAAATTCACAATACCAGCTTTATGTTCCTGTAGTAACTAGCAGCATTTTTCTGGTTGGAATTTTTTTTACTTGCCCGCACATCCAAGTTTAGGGGTTTTCAGAGGATGTCATCCATCAAATTAAGTCAGTGTGGCCTAAATAAAAACAATACAACCCTTGCCAGCACCCCTAGCAGCTCTTACTTTATGAGCATGGCGAGCTCCAGCCAGGCTCCCCAGTGGAGTGGCTCCTTGTTGATGGCAGACAGAAGAGCGGTGACGGCCTCCTGTTGTAGCCCCAGCCTCCGCAGCACCACACCGTACAGGTACAGCCCGTACCCGTCCAGATCACTCTCCTTCTGCTGCAGCTCCTCACGCAGGGTCCGCAGCCAACCACACTGGTCCTGCAGTGCAGACAGACATCTCTGTTGTAGGCTATGTTTTTACGGTTTGATTCCTGACAGAATCTGATCCAATTAACATGATAACAACATGATAATACTTGAAAATTGACTTGAAAATACATGAATAGCTGACATTATCTCCACTGCTTAGACTTAGTTCCTCCCACTGCTATTGAAACAAAAACTGTACAGTTTTTAGTGACAAATACGCAGATCTTGCCACATTGGCGACACCAAATCTATCCGAGTCTTCATCAGTGTTTTGACACAGTATCAATGATTAATCCGAAAGGCCTGATTTGCTTTACTCCACCGTACACGGAGAAAAGTTGTGTAAAGTGCCTTTCCCTAGGGCACAACATTGGGCATGTCAGGGAATCAAATGTAGGATCTGATAATAATAATAATAATAATAATACCTGGTACATTACATGGCTAGCTGATTAGTCTTTTGGTTCGAAACGTTCGTGAACAGTGGGGTCATGTGGCGTAATGTGTAGCAATGTGTAGCCGGCAAGAAGACACATGTCGGCTCAGCAGCAGGGACAGCACATCTGCGAGATATATGCGGCCGCGTCTTAGCAGCTAGAATCGGCCTTGTCAGCCATCGAAGAACACATCGAGTGAGAGAGACAGAGAGTCAACAATGAGGGACGTCATCTTCGAAACCGAAGGACAGCCTTAAGCAAGCAAGCAAGCAGAGCATTTGGCTCAGAACCAAGAGGTCCCAGGTTCAAACTCTGCCATGTCACCAATCTTGTGCCCTTGGGACAGGCACTTTACACAACTTTCATGGATGGAGGCCTGGCGAATCTCGTATTAGCCACGGAAAGGCAGCAGAATCTTCAGCTAGTTGAAGGCAGCTGCCTCAAAATGAAAGAAGTAGAGGATTGATTGTCAAATATTTCCATCCATGTGAACTGACCTGTCCAGCCTTCAGTGGACCGAGGCTGTCGGCCATGGCGTCCCCTCGTCTCTTCTCCCCGCCCATGTAACGTGCGTACATGCAGAGGAAGTATGCCTTCCGACTCGTACAGTCCCGTAACACGTGGGCAGCGCGGTCGTACTCACGTATGTCGTAGTAGGACCGCGCCACATTGTAGGCATCATACTCCTGAATACATGGAAACAAATAATTTGTCGGTGAATTGATATTTCATGTTGCAACTAGTTATATAATAATATTCTTTTTTTTGGTATACTCGCAAAAAGAAGTAATTTCTGCATAACTGGTGCGTTGGTGTTTAATTTATTCCAGGCACTGAATTTGATTTTGTAGTTGTTCAAATTATCAGACTAATTTACATGTACAACACTACATCATGTAGACTAGACTGCAGTTGATTGAGACATAGTCACGCATAACGTTACAAGTCAAGTTTAGTCAAATTAATTGCGCAACAATTGCGTTGGATACAATGTATTGCTACATGAATTATGATGAATATATTTTTGAGGAGAGGGGAGGGGGGCTACCTGTAAGAAGTCCGGGTCGTCTGCAGGAAAAGCGGGAAACTCCCCGGGTCCGAGGGGCTTCAGGGCGGCTGACTGTTCCGTCAGCCACTTGGCGGTCTGCACCAGGCCCCTGTCCCGGCACTCTCTCACCGCCACCACCAACTCTTTCTTGGCGGACATCAGGTCCAATTTCTGGTCCGCCATCTTCAAAGTCTCCCGCCCGCCATGCGATGTCAAACGTAAACAACATTTTTCACATCTTAGACATTCAAAAACGTACACCGATACATAAAAGTTATAGCAGAATTATTTGATTATACAGTGTTATTATTAGATATCAACAGATTTGTTGTAGTATTTGAGGAAGTTGACTTTGGGGTGTGCTGATATTTATTGCGTTTAGCGGCGTTGAAAGTTTTTTTTAGGTCAGAGGTTGCATCGCGGGAACGAGGCTGTGCAGTTTGTCCATTTCCTGATGTGAACCAGGCTGACGATTTTTCTCACATTTCGCAGTTTTTCACGTCTCCAAAAGCTAGAATGGGGTCTAGAAGGTGAGTGGCAACATCTAGGATGTATACAAATCACTGACAACTTTCTAGTTTGTTGTAAGAGCTCTGGGGGAGAGAAGGAAGCGAGGGTTTTATGCTGGAGACTTGGGCGTTACGTTTGACAGATAACACCCATCAGAACCGAAAGTTTAATATTCCGTACGCGAAAAGAAGGCAGCCTTGAAATCAAACAAATCTGGATGTACAGAATAAAGCTAGATCTAGCCGCTCGGTTTGTGAGGATAGAAAGGTTGCAAACAGGATTGAAATCGTTTGACGAAGTGTTAATTGAATGTCTAACTTTTTCAATTACAAAGTTTCTAATTTTTACAACAATACGTGCCATTATTTGTGCTGGGTGTGGTTAGTTGTGATTTTGTTGTACGTGATATAATTCACGAACAGAGAATATTACTTGTGATAGCTTCTTTTCCTTCTCCTTCTTGGAAACCCTTTAACAACAACTGAATGGCAAATATGGATTATGAAATTATGCAGACATATGAATTATGATACACAAGTACAAGGAACTACTATTAGCATTCACTCAGAAAGCCAAAGACAAAGGACAACCTTACGTTTTTTTCCAGCATTGACACTAACTTAACCCTTAAATTTTAAAAATACTTTAGATCAATCTCATTGCCAGGGTGAAATTTTCCTGGATATGCCCAAAACCATGTTTTTTTTGCCTGTACTAATTATCATTTGAAAAGATGGTTTTATGAGCAAGTATGTAACAAACTCAGATATTCAGATAATCAGAACATTCAGAAACTTGGTAAACAGGCCCTGAATTTTCTACCCCATGCTGAACTAATTGGTACTAATGGGCTCAGCAGTGTTGCTTATGGTATGAATAATGGATGAAGTCAGTGCAAATTACCTGCAACGTTGTCTTAATGAAGTGGTGCTTTTTACTTTGTTCCAGAAAAACTGGAATTACAGCCAGTCGTAGTAGTGTCATCAGATAATATGTCGATTTTATATGATAGAAGACTAGTCCTGCTCTGTATCAAATTTTAGCCTTGTAAACATAATTCCACATAGCATAACATAGAATAACATAACATAAGTACTTCCTGATTTTTTCATGGTACTTTTATGTTACAGTTTTCGCTGTCACTTCTGTACTGCAAACTTATATATCATTACCCTTAACAAGTCAGTCACCGACTTAATAACTGCAATTGCACTTAACTGTAAACATATAGTTCCTTGAAGACCTCCATTTTTCTCAGACGGTAAAATTTTGCTACTGTGAACATAAAGTGAAGTGCAATAACATTTATTTTTGCAGTCACATTTCCTTGTTCCTTTACAATGATTGTGGAAATATGTACATACATGTGTGTCACTTAACTTAAGGATCTGTTAACTTATATTAAGGATCTGTTGAAATGTTCAGTGTTCGACATTTTCAATATTGCAGGAAGAAAATTAAGCAGCCAATTTTGCAGACTGAAAAAATCAGGCTAGGACTAGGAGTTTAATGGTATCGGATTTTGTGTTGACTACTAACTTTCTAAATACTCCAGGAATTTTACATGTTAAGCGTTTTTCAAATCGCATATAAAATGTTTGCCAACATACAATTTTGTATAGGTCCAGACTTGTAAATGTGTATTTTGAAGAAATTATCTCTGATTTGCATCTAACAAAATTTGACATTCTGCAATATTGATGATTATGCAAATACATACATTTGTATCATTATAAGGATCTGTTTTCATGTTTGATGTTCCCCGCCCCAGGTGGTTTCACCCCAACATCTCGGGGATCGAGGCAGAGCAGCTTCTCCTGGACCGGGGGATGGACGGGAGCTTCCTGGCCAGGCCCAGCAAATCTCAGCCAGGCGACTTCACTCTCTCTGTCAGGTATTTATGTTTACCGAAGGAAAAGATATTGTTTTTGCTCATTTTCTTCCTCTTCTTCTTCTCCAAACAGTGACCTCTGACGTGACCAATGACATGATATGTTGACGTCTGTCACCATGGTGACTGGTGTTGGGTTACATAATGTTGCAATATCATGGTCTGCTCTGCTCCTGTCACCATATACTAGTAGTACATGTATGTGAATGTGTTTGAGTAAGAATTAACAGAGCAGACCATACATCCGAAGGTAAACATGCATTTGCTCTGCAAATGTTCCTTCTCTAGTTGTTTCTTCATTTTTGGCTGAAGTCACAGCCAAGGCTAGTATGAGGCAAACGTTGAGGCTAATACGAGATGGGGGAATGGTGTCTTGGGTTCCTTAAGGTGCGTAGGGTATGGCTTTCACCAAACAGTGGACCTGTATTAACATCCTATCCAAGGGATGTCCCTAATCGAAGCTACATTTAGGTACATGTACATGAACTAGTACTAATTTTCATCAGTATGAAGTGATGAAATAGTTGTAACTGACTTTCCCAAGGGCACAATGTTGGGGTATGTAGGTGGATTTGAACCCAGGACCTATCAGTTCTGGGCCTAATAATGCCCTCGTATACCATTACACCATTCAAATTCCAATGCCACTCTGTCAGGTACTGTACATTCAGTTACATATTTGCAACACCTGAACCAAGTAAAAATCAAGCAGTCAGGGTGTTTTTGAGTTGGGTTGAAATGAGGGAATGCTGGTGATTTGGTGCAAGTGTGCTGATTTTAACCATGGAAAATGGATCTGGAATGCAAAAACTGCAATGTTAAAATTCCAGATTCACAGTACACTTTACTCAGTTTTAGTGTGACATTTGTGTTGTGACCATCTGATTCTGAACAAATGAAACACCAGAGGTGAGTAGAAGCATGAAAATCCCTGACTCCCGGGACGCCGGGAATCAAACCCGCGTAGAATCCGGGCAGCCCAGCTAATAACCAAATGCCCTAACCGCTAGGCCAAAAGGTTGGACTGGGTTAGTTAGTGGCTGTTACACAAAGCACCTAGACAACGTTGCAATTTTCCATAATTTCAACATCTGCTAATGATACATGTACATGACATCTGTATCTGCAGCTATTCAAATTACTTGAACCAAGCCAAATTTCCCACAGACCTGAAACAGTAACACAGCTGTGTAACAAAGGAAAGTGCCTGAGGCCTGATCACTAAATCAGATAAAGCCTTTCAGTACTGCCAAAGTCACATTAAGCTGCGGTTCAAATATCAAGGGTGCGGAAAAATCTGTTTCGTGCAATAACTCTACAGAAAAATAAGCCTGATTTTTACAATATTCATGCATTCAGACTGGAGGAAGTCTTGAAAATGAAACTATGAGGAAATACAGAATTGGATGCGTAAACTGTTTTTGGCTGGATTTATAGGTGTTCTATCATGTACTGATAAAATGTATCAATGTTCATGCACACTTGTTACAACTTTCAAGAGGAGAAGGAGAGAGGAATTGTAGTTGTAAGAGGTTGAATAATACTGACAGCTCCTTTGATTTGCAGAAGTGTTTTTTGTGAAACTGCAAGTAGCTCACTTTTAAATTGAGGAAGTGTCATGCCTAAATAACTGAGACATATTTGTGTTGTTAGGGGTAGAAAGCTAAGATTACTTTCCCTAAAGTTTACAGTTACTGAACTTCCTCTTGACACTTAGATTTAACTTAAAATGACAGGAAACTGACAAGTTGCAATTGTGTGTTCTCTATTAATCAGAAGTTTTGTTTCCTCATAATTTTTCTCTCGTCTGCATATAATTTTGACACAAAGTAAATTTTGATAAGATTATGACTTTTAGAAACTTAGTCTACATTGTAGTTAAATTAGTATGATATATAGTAAACAACAAATGCCCCTGTAACCTAACATTTTGTTAACAGCTTTTAACTTTATAGTTAATTTTATAGGAATTTTATGAGGAAGGTTAAACTTGAACATCAGATAAAAGTATGATATTCCACTAAAATTGCAGGTTCAAATTCCTGGTTGTGTTTCTTTGTATACTACTTGTTTGACTGCTTTAGTGTGCTTAAATCAGAACAGCTACATAAAAGCATACAAAGTCTAGAGAGCATATTTATTCAAAGTCTAAGAGAGCACATTGAACTCTGAAGGCTTACGTGCCGTCAGTAGCTATTTTGGGAACACTACCTCATGACTATGAGCTAAGAAAGCACATATTACTAGAAAAGCTTTATTCCAAGAAGGCATTACTTCTTTTGCTTTTTTATGTTTAGCTCCTTTCAGAATTACTCTCCAAAGGCACGAGGAAGTCAGTGTCTTTGGAGGACAAGTCAATTCCTTGTTATGAAAAATTTTTATGTTGAATTTATATTCATGAATCTTTCCATGGAACAATCTTTCAATTTCTCGGCTCCCAGACTTTAATTAGAAATTTAATTAGAAAGCTGTTATACAAGCAGTGTTTCCAAATATAAAAAAATTTCCCCATTTTTGCTTGAGGTTACCTGAGTTCATCAATGAAAGGCTGTTTTATATTCAGTTTTGACAGCGTCCTATTATTTATCTGTGATATAGGTGAATTTGTCGTATCTAGTGGCAAATAATGAGTATTGATATGTATATTTCACATTGTTACAAAAAACTTATATCATTTGTATCATGTAAAATGAAATTATGAAACTTCTTTTCTGATGTTGGATAATTATTAAGAGGGAATCACATGGTTGTAGCACCAGGCAACCTAAAGGCTGTCCAGGTTGCAACCATAGCTGAAAAACTCTCAGCCATAGATAACAATGACATAATAGATGATTGTTTGTTTGTTTGAACCATTCTTTATTTGTGAATAAAGGCCGCTTTTCTTCGAAGTCATGAAGGTTGAGTTAAGGCCTAGGAAAAAAATGTTTTTGTGTTTCTTCCATGTAGGCTTGTTTCAGTTCTGAAAAAGTTTGGGTTGGTAGGTAGAAATTATCTTTTTTTTCTTCAACTTGTGATCCAAGTTATATTTATATACTTATACAGTACAGTTTAAGTGAAACTTGGATGAGGACACTTATGTTTTCAATTTCAGTGTTGGAAAACCAATTCTACAACATGGCATCACTCAGGTATCAGATCATGGAGCTAGAAAAGGTCGATCAGCTTGAAAAATTTATGTCCCTTGCAGGGGTCCACCCCCAAAAGGCTATGGTCGGAAGTTTTAGGGTCGATTGGGAAACAGGAAACACAACATTTTTTTCCTAGGCCTGAGGCTCATTTTGTATGATACACAGAGCAGAAACACAGTCAAACTAAATATGATATTTCCGTAAATAATTTCATCAGGTTGATAAACACTAAAGGTGTTGCATAGTTCATAGTGCACTTAAGCTAGTTTTTTCTGTTTACAATGCACTATGAACTATGTAACACCTTTAGTGCACTATACACCAAGTAACATCTAGTGTCAGTGCACAGTAAACCAGTCAGAATTGCCCTGATGAAGATGACAGAAGGTCATTGAAACTTCGGCTTGAAGAAATAAATGGTTGTGATAAAAAGAACTTATTGGTTGTGATAAAAAGAACTATTTAAATCTGATATTTCTTCCCAAGGCGCCAGAGTGAAGTCACACACATCAAGATCCAGAACACGGGAGACTTCTACGACCTGTATGGCGGGGAGAAGTTTGCCACGCTGGCAGAACTGGTGGAACATTACACGCAGAACCAGAACCAGCTCCGGGAGAAGAACGGAGAAATCATCGAGCTCAAGTTTCCTCTCAACTCTGCTGACCCCACCACGGAGAGGTCAGGAAACGGAGAAGTTTTTCAGTGCTACATATAACTGATAACGTTACACGTAATGTTTCTCTTTTGTAATCATTAAACAGTTTGCCCCTGTCATATGATATACATGTACATGATAGTAACTGTTGCAGCATGCTGGAGCAAGGATGCTAAAAAGGTAAATCCATGCCTAAAAAGAATTCCAAGTATGAATGAATTAATGTTTATTTACGTCCTTACAAGTCACAACATAAAGTAGCAACTTTAATTGGCTGAAATGAAGCATAATTTACAATACACCAACATTACTATTATTAAACTTAGTAATCTAAGTAAATATCACTTTATTATTGAGTAGATCAACCAGGTATGGAGTGTCTAGTAAGTACTTTTGTTTAGTCTTCTGCTACATGTACACCCAGTACATGGCCAAGTGCAGGTTAATTGTAGGTTGACATCCGATATACCTGCACAGCTCCCATTTTACCTAGTGTGTATACTAACCTGCATATGCAGGTGATATTATAAGCCCAATGCGATAGGTACTACTTTTCTTGAGTCTTGTTCCGTAGATGGTTCCATGGCCACATCTCTGGGAAGGAGGCCGAGCGTCTGATGATGGAGCAGGGCAAGAACGGGAGCTTCCTGGTACGCGAGAGTCAGTCCAAGCCCGGAGACTTCGTGCTGTCTGTGCGCTGTAACGACAAAATCACCCACGTCATGATCAGGCACCAGGTAAGTTCACAGCTGTAGCAGTTTACCTGGTCTTGCATGCACTTGATAGCACGTCGGCAGAACGTACTGCGCCTGCGCAGAACCCTGGATTTTCGCGGTTTTCGGTGGATTTTTGGTCAACGTTGCATCAAAATTTTGCCTGTTGCAGAGGATATCTTTTCCGACATATCATTTGAAAACTACTGTAGGAATGTTAACCTTATATGAGCAACTATAACCTTATATGAGATGTTCTGCCAAAGTGCTATGTACAATACATTACGGGTTTTGCGCAGGTGCAGTACGTTCTGCCGACGTGCTGCACTTGATATTGTACAGATCCTTCCATTTTTGGCAACACCTCAAGGTTGGATTCTTGCAGTCCATGTTCAAAATTTCTACTATCCAAAACATGGACTGCCAGCATCAAAGGATGGCAAATTTCAAATCAAGCCTTTCAGTTGATTTGATTACAGGGCTTGATTATTATATTTAATACAGTTCATTGACTATAACATTAATCTCATTTTGTTTTCAGAAACCTGGCCATAGATTACAAAAGAACATAATTTTGTTTAGATTTTGTGCCCTACTGATATGGAGAGATAGCATGCTACCAGTGGTAACCCAGTCTTTGTCCATTTCAGAAATTATCGGCATTGGATGTGAGTATCTGTTCAATTGGATACCATTTCATTAACATTACCAAGGGCCAGCTCCTTAACTCACCCCTACTATGTATAACCATCCATTCAGTATCAGCAGCAAGAGTTGGGTCTCCAATAGACGTTCACATTTCTTCAATATTGGTCTCCTATAGATGTTGAGCTTTCAATATTTTGAATAATCTGAAAACTGGACTTTCTACACAAGTAGCACAATATAGCTGAGAAAAATGGCATGATATCTTATTTCAAAAGTGGGATTTTTAAAGATTTCAAAGTGGTAAATATCCTTAATGTGCCAATGTTAAAAAGACTGGCAACTCCAACTTCTGCTGTTGAATGCAACCCTAACACTGGCCAGTTTCCTCTGCATGCCTCTAACAACCTAAGGGGTCATTATAATTGTGAACAAGTCATCTTCAACTGACTTGATAAAGTGGTGTATGTACCTTATATCTCTTTTTGTTTCCTGCTCTTTGATTGTTACAATGGACAAATGTCGATATTTCAGAATTTGGAAGAATTCAGAATTTTCATACTTTAGAACATTATGATATGAATGAATGAATGAATGAATGAATGAAACTTTATTTTCGTGTCGTGTGCTTTCCCGCGCCCAGCCCGTGTGGGCTTATACGACACCGATTCAATAAATCATACATAAACAAAAGAGAATCAAAGGTACAGATAACAGAATCCAAACAAAATATGAACACAAATAAAGGTAGGCTATATACAATAATGGTGAACAGAGGGAACTCATAACAGATCGTAAATGCAAATAAACAAATCTGTACATAATGAACCAAGGTCTCACAAAATAAATACAAGTACATAAGGTAAATCAAACATAATAAGAGAAAACAAACGTGCAGAAGTAACAAAATTATTTGATATTTGAAACCCTACTGTTAAATTTGTTACAGTCAATATGCTGAGAAATTTGACATATGGCAGTCCTTGACATTTTTACATGCTTGTTTTCAGGCATTTCAGTTGTTTTAGAATACCACGTGGTTTATGTTTAGCCAGACTGATCTCGAATTAAACTGCTTTCCAGATTGTTTTTTTTTTAGGGATAATATCATAATGCCTATTTGTCCCTTTGATGCATATATACAAAATGTATTGGTATCAGATTAATTTTTGTATGACGCACTTAGTACGTCAGTGACATGTAAATGCATTCTTAGGCTGGAAAAACAAAGTATATAACATGCTGTCAGACTGATTAAGTATTTGAGTATGCAGGGGTTAAAATACTTTTTTTTTCCAGGTTGCCCGGGCGGCAACCTGGGTCAAAAGCCAGGTTGCCCCATCAGGATTTCAGGTTGCCCCATTTCAAAGGAACTGGATTCTTCAAATCTGCTACCCAATATCCATTATCCTTTCTTTTTATCAATTAATAGGTTTGTTTATCAAGTAGCAAACACAACAGCTGTCAAACATCATCGTTTATTCAAAAATGCTACCTTCACATCTCCGACTCTGAGCCAGAAGAACTGCTGGTTTCATCATCTGCCTCATCCTGCCTGGGCCTTCTTCCATTAACACCCAGAGCTCTCTCAATATGACCAATCCACCTTGTACTTAGGGATGCGGACCTTAACCCACGTTCAGGTTCTGGACTCATAACCAGAGGTTTAGGTTCAGGTCCGTACCTTATGATTCCGGACCTAAACCCATGGCAATGCAGTTACACCAGCATAACTCGAGCAACTTGGCTAAATTAAGATGAAAACTCTTTAATAAATACTTCTATCAAAGAGTCAAAGACAGAAAGATTGAAGTAAACTCAAACTTGTCTTGTGTTATTCACTGGTAAGTTCTGACACAGCCGTGCAACTACTGAGTACTGTTAGCACCCTTAATTTTGAAAAAATTGGGCATAGGTTCCCCGGATGACCCCTAACCGGGGGCCAACGGTGCTTCCACAAGTTCAACAAGTGAAAAATACATGATACAAAATGTACATGTATTTACTACCTGGAACTTGGAGCAAGTAGGTGTTACCAACATCTTAATAAACTAAACCAAATATAACTAAGCTAGTAGTAGTAACCCTATCCAAGGACATTATCTTGTATAATGTCTCTGCCCTATCATATCCCAAACAAAATCACATATTGACACAGCTGAACAAATAAAATTGTGATTATGTCTATGAGACTCCTACTCAAAAACTGGTAGGCATGATCATATTAAATCTCTAATGTCTAATATATGTCTAATATATGTCTAATATATGTCTAATATATGTCTAATATACTAATATATGTCAAGTCCTTCACAGCATCCAACCGCACATTCTAAGAAACAACTATTATATTCTGAAGCAAGAAACCAATAAATTTGAAAAATTTCACAGTAATGTTTGAAAATTAACCTTCTAGAAATATGAGTGAATTTTTATTTCTGTTGTTGCCGAAAAATAATTTCATGCGTTTAAAGCATCGTTTTTATAGCACATTGCAATGTCCTGTACGTTTGGATGCTAACTTGACCTTTGACCACTTTTGTTGTCAACATGTGTCGGCCATGTTGGCCATTATTTCTCAGTCTTTCGAGCTGGTTTTTTGGACAAATTTCAACCGTTTTAAACATTTCACGGCCTCAAAAACTCATAAAACGGGGAAACTAAGGTATAGTTGTTATTTTCATGCGTGACATTTCTTCTGGGGATGGATTATTTTTCCGCGGAACCGCCGAAAACTTCACGCGCACAGCCGGCAGGATAGCGGCTCGATCCACGCCGCTCGGCCGAAGAAAATTCGAATGACGAACACAATTTATCGGGGAAATATTGGAATTAAATCCCTACGCGCACATGCTAATGGGAGGCGAAACGCCAAATTATCAACACCCGCTGTTATTTGAGTAGAGGGACTGCTCACGTGCAGGCCGGCAGGCCGAGGCGGGATGTTATCAGGCGGGACCGCGGCACTGTTTATTTCAGAAGCCGCTGGCCGTAAACCCAGCCGCTGTAAAAATAACTTGCGCTCCGGGCAACCTGGCTTTCCGAATAAGTCTCGCACAGACAAAATTACTTGCGCGGCGAGACTGCGAGACCGGGTATTTTAACCCCTGGTATGCATCAAATACATTATTTTAAGTTAAAACATTAAATTAAAAAAAAGCAGGATCAAAAGTAGCCGCGGCGACTGTTGCAGGGCTTCTCTTGCTTGCAGTCTTTTACATTAGCCCTAACAACAGTCGCGGAGCGGTGCATTGGGCCAAATGAACAAACATGCGTTTTACCGTGCCGGAACACTTT